CCCCCCAACACCTGAGAATTGGGCTGCTTTCAATACCTAGGGGGACACTTTATCTGGGAGGAGCTTTTCAGCTGAAGCTCTCGCTTTGCTAAATCTATGTTGCAGTCATTGCAAAGCCTTTAAAATGCATTTATCTCACTTTGTCTCAGACTGCTTCATTCCTCCGAGATTGTCTAGCAGTGTGGACTGTTAGCTGAACCTAGTTATGATCACTATTACAAAATTTTGCCCTTTTTTGTGTGGAAACTGCTTCTCTGTACCTTCTTGTCATCCTTAGCTCCCAGCTGCTTTCATGTGATAGTTAGCTCCACTCTGAGTTGCTGGAAAGCTTCTGCAATGTGACAGAACTGAAATTTTTAACTGAGAGTGTTCCAATATGACAGAAAAATCAATCCTTCTTATTAATGGTCTGCTACTTTGCTATGTAGGAAAGTGCTTATACAGACTGAGTTCCAGCCATAGCAAACTGACTTGATGGGTCAGGAGATGTGTGCTTTTTGCAGTCCTTGAAAGTAAATCCTTTAACCTTACTGTACTAGTTTGCCCAGTACTAGTGTCTACTCTGTATTGACCTGTCTAAAAGCGGTTTATTTATGCTACAACTGGCAAATCAGTCTGGTTGTTCAAACTCAAATGCTAGACACCACATGTAATCTATTTTCCCTCTGTTCAGTTGTATAGAAGCCACTGCATTCTTACCTCTTTTACAGGAAGAGGTACGGATTTAATTTAATACTTAAAATTCTTGATTTATGGGTCAGTGAGTCTGGAGGAGGGGAAAAAAGCAAAGTTAGAAGGTGATTAAATTTTACCAAAGGAAAAATATGATTAGGTAGAAACAGTATATGTGAACTCTTAAAGAACAGGAGGAAAAAATACAGAAAGCCTTGTGAAAAAGGAGACTAACTGCTGTCCTGTCATATGTGTAAGTGAGAATCTCCTTGTGCCAAGAAAAAAAGAAAGTGCTGTGAGGCAAGGTAGTGTAATTTGTTTTGTGGCTTTCTTTTTTCCCCACAGATCTACTACTTTCTTAAAAGATGACAAGCATAAAATCCACATCATTACATAGGAGTTCACTGTCTGAAGAAAAAGACTATGTGAATAGGGGGTGATTTAGGGATTGATTCCCAATGGTAAAGAGTGTTTGAAAAGCACTCATTAACCATGAATTAGATAGCTAGAAGATGAGTGAACTACTAATCATGTGATCCAATCACTGGCTTGTCACAGGTAATTGATGCAATCATTCAACATCATGTAGGCAAGGTTAAGAGGCCTGGTTCTGATACTTGCAGCTGAGATGATCTCTAATTGTGCAGATGGTGCCTTGACTTCAGAGGAAGGGGTTTGCACAACTGGCCTCAGAAGAAGTGAATGATCTATACTGATAAAACTTAGGCTCATAAGACTTTAAAGGCAACTTTAGAGACTAAATTCTTCCATGCCTTCTCTTTTCCTAGGCAAGGGTTGAAAACACCTTCACCAGCTAGGTTCAGTTGTGGTTGAACACCAGTCTGGGAGTCTGCAGGAAGTGCAGTCTGCGTCTGTACTGTCTCATATTTCATTTGTATGTCAGTCCTATTCCCATACTTGTGGTACTCTTGTTACTGGATATTCTCTTTTTGCAGTAGTTCATGTTTTTCATACCTTTGCAATATGCCATCCATTTATTTTATTTAGTTCAGTGTGCTTTGAACACTGAACTAATAAAGCTTTGTTGTAATATCAGTCTCCAAATCTTCTGGCAGACCATCACTTACCAGATAGTTGTAAGGCAAGATGGTTTCCAGAAACTAAAGCCCTCTTATGTGCTGTTGTTAGTGTCTGTGTTGGTAAACCACAAAAGTAAATATAGAAATCCTTTGTGTGGAGAACAGCAAATCACAGAATCACAGCTGTTTGGCTCTAAACGATGTGTGATTGTATTCAGCTGACCAAGTTGTGAGACGTGCAGAAGAAAGCAGCTGTATGTAGCAACTTTGCCAGAGTGCCCAGTGATCCCTTTGAAGAGTTGCTGCTGCTCTCTCAATGTCCTGCACTTCAGATTTTTGAATGAACACAAAATGCATTTTCAGTGTTGCATAATTTTTTTTTTCTGTTGAAATCCTGCTTCAGCAGTCCTGAGAGTTGTATTCCTGCCCAGTTACATCTTTCCTCCTAGCAGCTGTGAGTGTTACTCCCTGGAGCTCCACCCAGACTGCTTAACACTCGTCTTTCAGAGGAGTCCACCTCTAAAAGAGCAGTTGCTTCCAGAGAAATATTGATATTTACAGCTCTGGGCTGTTGCAAACATCTAAACACCAATAAAGATCATCATCTCTTAGGGAGATGTTTCTTGAATCCTGAAGATAATCTTTTT